ATCAGGGTATAGAGTTCAATATATCCATATTTAACATGATGACTATGTAGTTTAACTCTTTTACAACCTTACCTTATTTTCTTTCCATTTCTCTCTCTCTCTCTGTCTCACACACACACACACACACACACGCACACACATGAACACACACACACACACAAACATGCAGTGAAAGAGAGAGAAAGATTCCACATTCTGTAGAATTTTATTCACCTTCATCAGAATACAGGGGGCTGATAGTCTCAGGAAGTGTAGTAGGAGTGGGAGAAAAACTGAACTTCCAAGAGATGTGCATGCATTTCACAGGGTGGGGTGAGGTGGATGGGACACATGTCACTGGGTGCTCTATTAATGGGGATAGTGTAAACACGTGCAAGAAAAGAAGAGATAAAGGGAAAGTGAGGCATAATTGTGGTGAGGAAATAGTGCATTTGGAGACAAAGGGGAGGACATTTAGTTACTGGTGTGAGTGAAAGTTTGGGAATGGGAAGAGATACCTAAAAGAATTTAGGAGGCATTTTTGATGTTGGCCTGCTTTCTGAAATCTTACAATGGTCTTTTTAAGGAAGCCTAAGTAAATAGAATGGGATTTGTGTTTTCTTTGAATGTGATTTCTTATGTAGACTGGGTCCTGGTAGTCTCTGGTTTTTATTCTCAGCTTTATTTTTATTTTATATTTTATCTATAATGACATTGATAGAACTGTAAATGAAATGACTATAATAAGAGAAACTTTAAGTATTTCCCTAATCTTGTAGACTTCCCATTAGTTTATACTTATTTCATGTGTTCTTATGTGTTTTATACACATAACACAATCCTTTTGTTTAAAGACCTCCTCCACCAATGAAATAAAAGCATTCCCCTAAGGGTTTGCATGGGTTGGGAATTTATTACTCCAAAAACAGTAAGGAAACTACTCTGAGTTGAAATGACTTACTTTTTTTTCTGATAAGGTTATATGGGATTCTCTATCTCTTGTAGACCCTATGAGGAAAGATGGACTGTTATATTTGAGGCACATTTTGTGGGGATATTCATGGAATAAGTCAAAATGGTAGCCATATTGAATTCCAACTTCTAAGGGTATGTTTAAGAGGGAGAAGAGGGACACTGAGAAGAAGAGCCCAGAAATGATCAGGAAGGCAACATGGTTCAATGAGAAAAAACAATCACAGGCATCCTACGGTCTACTTCAATTACTTCTTATTTGAAAAAAACACAAACTTTCTGAGCCCTACTTTTCTCATGCTGTAAAATGTAAGACTTAGATTTAAATGATATCTAAAGTTTACTTTAGCTCAATATATATTTATCTGTTAATAAAGGAATAATTAGATTTATGTTTACCTCCAAGGTCACTGAATTTACAGATTTAAATAGAATGAAAGTAGAGATTTAAAAATTACACTACAAGTAGAAGAATATAGGTTGAGGTTTTTAAGCTCCCATTTAGAATCAGAGTGATAACTTTAAAGGATAAGAAAATAGAATCTTATAGAGAATTAAATACATTGTTACATTTAACTTTGCCCCTAGACCTAGTCAAGAGTAAAGCTTAATGAATTTAGAGATTTAGGTTATTTATTTTGCATGAAAAATAATGATATTCAAGATGTGGTGATAAAATAATTGAGAAAATCAAATGGGACCAATTATTGCATTTGCTTAAGAAGTTGAAATTCTGGAGTTGAAAGTAAACTTTAATTTGCTTCTTAAGAAATTAGAATTGGATTTTGTTTGGGAAACTTTCCTGTGTTAGTCTGTTATAAATCTCATAGAACTAATAGAGTTCAAGTAGAAAAGTACACTAATAAACAACAATAGTGACTTTATTCTTTGAGAATTTACCATTTATTATTCTGTTCATTTCAGCAATGATGATATGATGAAATGACATAGCACAAATAAGTGGAAACCAAGAAGGCTTCCAGCATTTGGAATTCTGATGAGAAGAGATAATAAGAAATTCCAATGTTTGCATTCCTTTAAATGTCTGGGAGAATACTATATCATATTATTTTTTCCAAGTGAAAGCTAATTTTATTCATTTCAAAAGTAAAAGAGAAATAGAAGAAGGTGGAGGAAGTAGAGCAAAAAGAGAAGATAGGTTAAATATTTACATGTAAACAAGAGATGTAGGCTAATTGAATACTTTTGTGCCCTGCCCATAGTAAAACAACAAAGAATACATCAAGAAGTAAAAATAGACCTAACATGCAATCACTAAGAATGCATTAAACAAGATACAACATACAATTAAGCCATGAAACTTGCTACAACAAGATTTTATTCAAATAAATGCCTTAGATAGATTATAAGGACTAGGTATGGTAAATATAGTTGACATAAAAATTTTAACACCTGGAATTTGGAACAAACAAAATATTCAAAAAAACACAAAAAACAAAACACCAACAACGAATAGAACACAAATGACATTAACTTCCAGGGAATAGGCTTACATATTTTAGGATGTGCAGGGGATTTCCCTTAATTTGAAACAACTAGAATACCCTTAGACCTTGTTTTCTTCTGAAAATGGTCCACTTTTGAAATTCTGAGCTCTTTACCTCCAATCACAGCTCACTGAACTTGTGTACTCCATACTCCCATTGACCATGCTTAATAACATCTACTTTCCAGTTTAATGATGTCTACAATCTTATAGTCCATCAAGCCCACTTATTTTCTCTTCTATTTAGCCTATAAAGGCTCACTGTGCTCTCCACAATTACAAGGGTTTGGGGGTGGGAACCCCATGTGCTGATGTCCATGGTCATGAAACAATCTCTGTACTCCTGGTCATGCCACCTCTTTACCATGTTGTGTTGGACTTTACAGTCCACTATTTCAACTGCACTCTTATTAACACTGAATTCTAACCCACCACATCTACATTCAGAGTTCATGGGACCAAGTGACAGTGCTAACCCCAGGGGTCGGCATCTGTGAAGGCACCAGGGAGGACATTCTTGGCAGAGACACGGGTGCTCCCTGGAGACTGAGAGCATTGACAAGGGGCCAGAGCAGGAGAAGAGAAGCATGGAAGGCCCATGTGGTGCTGTAGATGATGGGCAAGCTTGTTTCCTTGAGAAGCCTTAAGCATCTTAGCGAGCTTCAGCCCCGGGTAAGTGAGGGCAAGAGACAGTAAAATGTAGGCTGTTGTAATTCATGTGATTCATCTGTACTCATGAACTGGTAAAGCCTATGGAAATTTGGATTACCATTATAGGGGAAGGGAGAAGAATTGACATGACACGCCAGTCCCCATGGCTAAGTTTCCTTCCTGGATGCATGCCACTCTGGGATTGGCCAGTTGTAAATGAACTGTTGCAAACATAGCAGTGGGAGGGATGTCTGAGCTAAAGTGGAGAAGAAAACAATGGTGAGTAGAGCTTTAATTAGGGTTGACTCTTGGTAAATGTCAGGAGGATTATTCAGTTTGTGTGTCACTTGGGTCCCTTGCCTTTTACCTGCTGACCATTTCACCACTTTAAAGTACTGTACCTCGACAAGTAGGGAATAGAAAGGATGTGGGACTGAGAATATTTCAGCTCACTCTAGTCAATTAACACTGATACTAGAGCACAGAGAACAGGGAATCCATTTGTAAGCTCATATTTTCCTTATTAGCGACAGCATTCTGTATCAGAAAGTTTACTGCAACTGCTTGATCAAGCTTCAGAGACTGTGACTTTATTTTTCTCTAATGTTATGTTATTCATAAAAAAATCATGGAGTTGAGCAATGACTATTTGATTTTCAATATGCGAGAGGGATTCCCTTCTGGGAAAGAGGCGGCACTAGACAAAACTGAGAGCCAAGCAACTGTAAGAGAATGGGTATGTTCTAATCCCAAGTACATTTTACAATAGAGGACCCAGTCATTTGAGCAAATGTTGGCTATATTTCCAGGAAACATTCAGCTAGAAGAACCAGGTTTGCCATCACTTCTGTGCACAGCAGGTGAAGGTGGGTGCAACACACAACTCGACATTGTGGTGCTGGAGCCTGGACTAGAAGACATTGTCGCCATGTGCCATGTTATGATGGCAAAGGTGTGAGCAGCCAATTGTTCCCAGCCTACCTGTCCTTATACTTGGCCACTTTTCAAGGGGCAAACCTACTTTAACAAACTCTAGCCTGTATTATAGCAGGGAGGAGCTGGGTGGCGCAGACGTAGCTTTCCATTACCAGATCAGAAGGGTGGAGGAGAGGCTGGCAGAGTGACAAGAATGAATGAACACCCCAAGTTCCAGCTCCTATCTGAAGCTTCTTAGTTCAGGTGAGCATCTAGAGAAGCCAGGTGAGATAACTAACCCAACAGAAGTATCTCTGGAAAATTCCAAGCCAGAGCAACTTGGAAAGAACAGGGAGTAGGGAGGGATAGAAAGCAGTACAAAGAGAAGCCAGCCAAAATATTCAGGGCTCTAGATGAACATCCAAGATTAAAGAACAATAAAAAACATTGCATTAAATTCCATTTTAGGTCATTATGCCAAGCGGATTTACACAGGATAGGGTGAAAGAAATTAGGCTATAAGAGATCAATGACAAATTGCAATAAAATCGGATGCTAAACTCACCAAGTCACTGCTGTCACTGCTATCTTGCTTCAGTCAACTGTTGTCTAGTTAGTCTATTAATGCTTTCTCTCACAGAGGGCATGATAAATACTGTTGAACCCCAAATTTGTTTTTATGGTTACCTTAAAATTATTGTCATTATAGGGAGCAGAGATGGGAAAATTATCTCTTCATGTCTGATTCACATGCAAACTGAATGAACCACATAACGAATGCCTTAGTCAGATACTATTTTGAAACCTGGTTCAAAAGCTAAATGCTTATAAGCTTCTTTAGGGGCAGTGCTGTGCTCTGGGTCACAGGAAAACCATCCCAGAAGCTCGGTCTACACATCAATAAGCAGGTGCCTGGGTAGGGTGCAGACTGCACCTATGGACGGCCTTTAGAACCCAATTCTAAGGTTTATAGAACAAATTTTTGTTTAGAAATGCTTACTTTGGTTCATTAGATAGTAGTAAATCAGGCTTCTGTCTTACCTCTTTTTTGTCACCTTCCTAAGTGCATGGGGAAAGCATTTAGGGCTGAATAGTCCTGAAAAGTGTTTAAACTTTTTTGTGTGTGTGTGAGTGAGAACTGGTCACTGAGAGAAAGAAGATAAGATTCTCATTACTGCTTCTGTGTATCAGATGCTAGCGTGAATACCTTGTTGATTTGCATGTTCTATTATTGATTTGCATTATTGCTCCTGTCTTCTGTTGTAGGTGAGAGGTAGGCTCACTGCTGAAGCTCAAGGAAGATGTCGATGGCCAATGACCATTCTTAGGGTCCTGAAATCTCTCCAGGTGGTTCCTTGGAAGGATTGTTCTTCTGGGGGGTTAGTGTGTATCACCACCAGCAAATCTGCTTCTGTTTGGGAATTGCTGGAGGGAACTCTGTGACCTCTGATCTCTTCCATGGGCCACGTCCGTCAGTCCTCTCAGTCTTAGTTTCAGCCTATTCTTTATCTCACTGCCACCTGTTTATCCTCAGCTCAGGGTCTCAGCCCATCCACCATCGGAACCTGCTGTTAGGAATAGATCAATTATCAGTCATACACAGTGTGCCATGATCCTGTCTCTGATGCATTTGATTTCTTTATGTGTTTTGGCTGACTTTTTAAAATTATGAAATATAGCCTAAAGGTGCACTCCATATATGCATACGATGCAACAAATAGAACTTTGCCAGAACTTCTAAAGCATCCCTCCCTGTTCCTTTACCAAAAAAGCCTCCCCTCTCATTAGAGGTAACTAAGGCAATTATTTCCTTAGCTTAATATGTCCACCCCTGAAAGCATCTTTGAAAACACAGGTTTTCTTGCCTTGATCTTTTCATGAAGGGTATCGTACTGTGTGTACTCTTTGGTGCCTCATTTATTTGGCTCCTAAACCTTACTTCTGTCAGTGGCATGGAAGCCCATGTCTCCTGCCATGATGATTTCGGACATCAGTGAGCAGATGATTGCACATTTTTAGGGTCAGAAATACTTTCTGGTGTGCCTTAAGAGAGCGAGAATTGAATGACCATGTCCCGGGACGTGGCTTGGGGGTGTCCTAGGTAAGCAAAGGTCTTATGAGAAGCTCTGGCAACTTTAGATGAAGGGAAGAAGTGGGTCCCAGTGGGACATCCAACCAGGACTGAGGGGGCTAAATCATTACAACTAAGAGAATTTTATCCACAGCTGAGCTATAAAGTGTGCCATGATCCACATTTCACTATATCATCTTTGTTTTCTCTGGAGTTAATAATTATTACATTTCCCATTTTTTAAAATTATTTGTTTAGTTTTCCATGTTTCTATCACTAATGGATTCTTCTGATAGAGTTCTCTTCCCATGTGTTCAATGTATTCAAACACATTTATCCTTCTGATAACATATTCACCTTAGCTTCAAATGATCAGTATATTCAATTTTGGAATTAAATCATACAATTAAAATAGATGCAGGGTAGGCTAACACTTGTAGGAATAACGTGTAAGGTAAAATCAGAAGCATGAAGTAAAGTACAACTCTGCTCCCCCTGAAAGGGTTAGCTCAGCTATCTCCCCCAGATGCAGTATTCCCCAATTCCCAATCCGAATACCATGCTGATGATCACATACATACATAGCATATATAACGTAGTAATGAAAATATAATTGATCTGAATTTTTATTTTATGGATGAGAAAATGCCCACTCTGTTCTCTAGCACTTTGCTTTCTTAACATCTCTAGGGCTGCACTGATACTCTTCCATGATAGCTAACTTTATAGATGCAAGAATATATAAATTCTTGAAGGCGGGTTTTGGCTGTATTCCTCCCTGGAGAGGGAGAAATCAACAAACAACAATAACAAAAATTGGTGATTGAATTTCCATATGTAAAAAGTACTAGTCATACGACAATGTAGGAATATCTACAT